AAGTAAAGGCTTCTAGATTTTGTCCAACATGATGCTGGCTGTTGGTTTGTAATAGATAGATTTTAACAGGCTGAGGTAAAGTCCATCTATTCTGATTTTCTGTAGGATTTTTATCATGCATGAGTACTGCATTTTGTCAAAAGCTTTCTCTACATAAACTAAGATAATCATGTAATTTTTGTCTTTGGTTCTGTTGATATGGTACATTACATGTACTTATTTGCATATATTTAACTATTCCTGGGATAAATCTCACTTGGTCATGATGTATAATCCTCTTGATGATTTGCTGCCTTCTGTTTGCTTGTATTTCATTGAGGATTTTTGCATCTATGTTCATTAGGGAGATTGTCCTGTAGTTTTCCTTTTTGGTTGCATCTTTCTCTGGTTTTGGTATCAGAGTAATATTTGCCTCCAGGAATGAGTTTGGGAGAAATGTTTTCCTTTCAGTTTCATTGAAGAGTTTAAGAAGAGTTGGTATTAAATCTCTAAATTTTTGGTAGAATTCAGCTGTGAAACCATCTGGATCTTGGGCTTTTCTTCAGAGGTAAGTTTTGATTACATTTTTAATTTCATTGATAGACTGGGTTATTCAGAATTTTTATATTTTGATTCAGCCTTGAAAATTCAGATATCTAGGAATCTGTTCATTTTTTCTGTGTTTTCTATCCACTCAGAGCAAAGATACTTGAAGTAGGTATTCATGATCTTCTCAATATCTATAGGGTCTGTAGTAATTTTGCTCTTTTTGTCCCTTATTGCATGGATTTGAATTTTTTTCTTTCCTTTTTTTTTCTTTTTTGATATAGTTGGCTAGGGATTTACCAATTTTATTTATTCTTTCAAAGAACCAACTTTTTGATTCATTCTTTATATCATTTTGTTTCTCGCCATTACATTAATTTCTGCTCTAATCTTTATAATTCCTGTGTTCTTTGGGCTTCACTTGCTTTTCTTTTTCATAGGAGGTTGGGCTGCAGCATATGGTTGCTTATTTGGGCTTGTTCAGTTTTCCTGATGTAAGAATTTATTGCTATAAATTTTCCTCTAAGTACTGCTTTCATTGTGTCCCATTAAGTTGTATCTACATTTTCACTTGATTGCAAATATTGTTTAATTTCTTCTTTAATTTTATCTGTGGTCCACTAATTGTTCAGAAGAGTATTATTTAATTCCATGTGTATATGAAGTTTTTGTGATTTATTCTGCCAATAATTTTGTTTCTCTGTGTCAGATAATAAGCATGGGATAATTTCAATTCCTTTGCATTTACTTAAGTATGTTGCTTCTGTTAGTATATATTCTATTTTGGAGAATATACTGTATAGAGCTGAGAATGTGTATTTTGATGTTGTTGGGCAGAACTCTGTAAAGGTCTGTTAAGTCTATTTCTTCATGTTTCGATTAGTTCTCTTATTTCTTTGCTGATTTTTTGCCTAGTTGATTTAGCTCTTTATGGTGTGTTAAAGTCCCCCACTACATTATTGCTCATTTGATTTTTCATGTCTGTTAAAATTTGTTCTATATAGCTGGGTACTCCTATATTTGGTGCATATATATTTATGACTGGTATGTCTTCCTCTTGAAGTTTTCCCCTAACAAGTTCACTACAAGTATGTAGTGAACTTCCTTAGCCCTTCTGACTATTCTATGTTTGAAGTTATCACTGTCTGCAAAGAGAATAACTACCCCAGGTTTTTTCTGGGTTCCTGTCACACAGAATATTGTTTTCCAACTTTTGGTCTTTCTTGCTGTTGGTTCCCTGGTTTTCCTGTGTTTAACTGCTTTCCCTGGTTGGTGGTTCCTTTCCACTGTTGTTCTTGGAACTGTGGTCATTTGCATCTCTTTCTAGAATATCTTTCATTATTCTTTGTAGGGTTGTCTTGTTAGTCATGAATTTCTTCAGTAATTGTTTGTTGTAGAAATATCTCATTTTTCCATGAATTTGGAACATAGTTTTGTAGGATATATCAATCTCGGTTGGAAGTTGTTTTCTTTCAGGACCTGAACTACTTCACTGCTAGCTCTTAACTTGATGGTTTATGCTGAGAAATCTGCCATGAACCTGATGGGTTTTCCTTTACAGGTGATTTATTTCTTTACTCTAACAGATGTTAATACTGATGTACTCAATTTGTGGGATCTTTATTACTATAAGTATGGACACAGATTTATTTTAGTTATGGCTAACTGGAGTTATATATTCCTCACTTATCTTGATGTTCAATTCTTTTCCCAGGCTTGGGAAGTTTTCTGCTATTATTTCTGCAAAAAGTTGTTTTGTCATTTATGTCAATGCCTATCAATCTTATATTGGTTTCTTTGCATCATCTTGCAGCTGCTGCATTCTTATTTCCTTGTTCCTTGTTATTTTTAAGAGATCTTTTCTTTTGTGGTTATTAGCTGCAATGATGTCTTCAAGGTCTGAAAGTCTATGTTCAGTTTTGTTCAAGATGTTTTCCAGTTCTTAACAGAATTCTTATTTTCCTGGATATCTGTCTGAATCACTTTCATGCATTCTAATTCTTTCCTGTATTATTTATTCAATGTTTCCATCATTTTTCTATGTTCATTTTTTAAATCTATGTCTTGTTTAGATGAGCTGAGCAATTCTTTCATGACTGTTGTCATTTGTTTTCACCTGAGACATTATTTGTGATCTCATTTCTTTGATGACCTGACGGAGTTGTTTCTTTACTTCCTATCATTTCAGAAACTTCATGCTTTTAACTTTCAAGTTCTTTTATGCACCTACCTTTTGAACTTGTGCTGGGTGGGCTGGACGTCTGAGAGTGTCTTTTGCCCCTTTCAACATTTCTGAAGCTCAAAAGTTCACCAGGGATGAGCACCACTCCTATGACAGTGGAGAGGGGCATGCTCCTGGAACTGTCTAGGGCTAAGTCTGACTCTGGCAAAGGTTAGGGGACATGGTGCAGGTCAGTGAGGTTATTGCAATTGTGTGTGTGTGTGTGTGTGTGTGTGTGTGTGGTGGGGGGAGGGCTCACCAAGGCACCACCCCCAAACTTTCCAGGGCTCAGTGTGGCTTCTGTGATGGTCTTTTTTATTTTTTTGAGACAAGATCTCTTTATGCAGTTTAGACTGGCCTTGAGCTCACTTGGTAGTCCAGGCTGGTTCGAACTCACAAGGATCCTCTTGCTTTAGCCTCCAGAGTGCTGGGATTTCAAGCATGTGCCACCATGCCCACCTAAAATAGTATTTTAATTAAATAAATAATTTTTTTTTTTTTTTTTTTGCAGAACCGGGGATTGAACTCAGACCCTTGAGCTTGCCAGGGAAGCGCTTATTCTACTGAGCCATCTCCCTGGCCTAAAGTAAGTATTTTAACAGGACTTTGTTTTTTAAACCTGTGGAATTTTAGACCAGTCATATATGTGAACAGGCAGAACAGCTTCCTAGCATTAAGGTACCAAAGAAGCAAAAGCAATCACCTGAACAGAGGACAAGCCCCAGGTAGGGCAGCACACACATGGGAGTGGGGTGAACTCTATCATTTGGACTTGAAGAAGCCTACCAGATCCTAGCAAGCAGATGTAGTTGTCATTAATGAGAGTAAAGCAATTAGTAGTAGGGTACACACAGAAAGAAATGGGGCATTTAAACAGCCACGTAAGTTTCCTCTTACAGTGGAACTTAGGGTAGATAGCTCTTGATTATGGAGAGAGAAACAGGTTACTCCGGCTGTGCTGGATTCTGACAGCCTTTCAAATTCCACAATACAGAGAAATGTTTATAACACCCACTTTTTTACTTACTTCATATTCTCTTATTAAATCTGGATATAAAGCCAAGGATATACTGTTTTGTGACAGTTTTTTCACAAAATATTTCTAACTCTTAGAGGTAACCAAAGTGAATCTTCATTCCTTCTAACTCAAAAGATCTGACATATTATAAAAATAATACTGTATATTTTTGGTAAGTAATATGGAAAAAATACATACAGAAGAAAGTCAATATAAAAGGTAAAGCCCCATCCAGGATATTAACTGCTGTAATTAATTTACGTAATTGCTTTTTTTCTTTTTAATTTTTTGGTACAAGGTCTCACCACACAATTCAGACTCATAGTGAACCTCCTGTTTTCAGCCTCCTCAGCAGCTGGGATTATAGGCTTGCACCACCACACCTGACTCCATTGCTGGCTCAGTGTTGGGGGTGGGACCGGTGCGGCATGTAGTACTGTGGATCAAACCCCAGTCCCTGCACTTCCCTAAGTGGACGCTTAGTCCACTGAGCTATCTTGCCATCCCTAATTTATGTAATTGTTGATGTTGTCTTTTGATGTTACTAACATTTACATCTGTGAACTGAGAGTGAGCTGAGTGCTCTTCATAATGTATGCACCCTCATCCCAGAAGTTGCAAGGCTATCCAAACAAACAAACAAACAAACAAACAAACAAACATCAAACTCCTGCAGACCACCTTCAGGCCTCATTTGCACAGCTCACTTTCTGAGTCTCAGGCTGCTGATCCATATGCAGACTTTAGACTTGCCATCTTCCATGATCACGCGAGCCAATTCCCTCTAATAAATCTCCCTGTACACATTCTATTCGTTCTTGTGCTCGCTTCGGCAGCACATACACATTCTATTTGTTCTGTTTGTCTGGAGACTCTTATGACTCTTGTGAAAACTCATTTTCTTCCAGTTTTCTCTCTTCATCCTTTTCCTCTGTGTCATTTATGGCACATCTATGATTTGCATGGCTATCCAGTGCTACAGAGGATGGAAATTTCACAACTTATTTGGTTACCAATTTGTGCTTGTATACCCTCAATTATATTGGGTGAGATCTCTCTTTCTTTAATCTGTGTATTTGGTACAGGGTCTCACTATACAGATCACACACGTGGAGACCCTCCTGTTTTCAGCCTCCCCAGTGCTGGGATTATAGGTGTGTGCCACCACACCTGGACTCTATTGCTGGCTCAGTGTGCCCCGGGGGCGGGGCCAGCACGGCATGTGGGACCCGGGATTGAACCCTGGTTCCTGTGCTTGCCAAAGCAGGTGTGTCATCCTTGCGCAGGGGCCATGCTAATCTTCTCTGTATTGTTCCAATTTTAGTATATGTGCTGCTGAAGCGAGCACCAAAGCAGGCACTTGGTCCACTGATCTATCTCACCCACTCTCTGGGTGAGATTTATGAGCCTTTCTGTGATAAAAGTATGTACTTTAACATAAATTTATACAATTTTGCCTCTATTTGATTATTTCCTTAGGATAAATTCCTAGATATGCAATTACTGAGTTAGGATGTGAATCTGCAAGTTTTAAAATATATTATCAAATGTGGTTCAGAAAACAGTGTGATGACAATTGTCATTTTATGGCATCTTTGCCAACATAATAAATTTTACAAGTCACACATGATTTAATTCTAAACAACTAATGAGCCAGTATATAAAAAGCAATGTATTGTAAAACTGGAAGTCTGACAGTCAGGAAACAAAGCATAAAGTGGTTTTAGATTATATGGAATAAAATACTGATATACTTCTGTAACCTACCCACCTATATACTTCACTTCCACATCTGCCAACACCTGTAAACAGTTCTCGTAGGTGACATCCGCCATCTTGAGCATTCCAACAGCATCATACACCTGTTTGGTCTGCAAAATTAGTTCCTCAGTTCTTGTTCTAATTTGCTCTGGTGAAAGATCCCATCTTAGGACATTTCTCCCATTTGTAGTAGAAGACACTGCTCGAAGAGGAGACATTACTTCTCTTCCTAATGTCATTCTCAGCAAAACCCTGGAACCACCAACTCTAAAAAGAACCAGAAAAAAATAACAGAAATTAGGAATTGCTGTATGTCCAAAGTCAAGATACAAATGTATATTGCAAAATTCAATTTAAACTGAGCACATTGGGGCCAGGCAGATGGCTCAGTGGAATAAGCGCTTCTGTGGCAAGTGTAAGGGCCTGAGTTCAATCCCCAGTTCTGCCCAAATAAATAAATAAATAAATAAATAAGCTGAGCACATTCTCTCATGTGAATACATATACATAAAATTAAATACCTCTGGAATTTTTTCTTGACTAATTATACTCAAATGGAAATGAGGCCATCCAAACACTACATTATTCATGTCATGAAATGATACAGAAAAGTTAGGTATCAGTGACATAATCATCATTCTGTATAAATTAAATCAGAAATCTCCCCTCTGTTAACATCCACTTACTATATTTACTATATAATCAAAAATGTTTTTGGAAAAGAAACATTTAAACATTCTGTTTTTATACTAAACACTATTTTTTGTAGTAGAAATTATTCCAGATTCAGGCAGGGGGATAGGAATGCACCAAGGGACCTCCAGAAGTTGAGGGAGGCAACAGTCAAGGCTACTGAGGCTCAACAAGAAAGTTTAAATTCCCTGGCTGAGGTAGTTTCACAACGAGCTGAAGTAGTGGTATTAGGTCTCCTTTCAATTTCTTATAGAATTTGGCAGTGAATCCATCAGAACATGGGCTTTTCTTTGTTGGTAGCTTTTTAATTACAATGATTGGTATTTGTCATGGTTTGGAGTTTTTGCAAGGGAAACAATACAGGTCACATTTTATAGTATTAGTTTATAAGGAATCACCCAAGAATCACATCCAAGAAGTACAGGAAATCTGTCCACACAATGAAGATCAAAGAATCCAGCTGAGGGCCTGGATTCTAAGATTCTGCACGAGTTCAGCTGAAAACCTAGAGCTCTTAACAACGCCTTCCACAGTACAACTGGAGGCGTAGAGTCCATAGCAAAGGCTCATGCAGGCCTTCTTTATGGATCTTCCCTGGAAAGGCCCAAAGGTCAGTGGTGGAAGCTAGAAAGCCTGTGCCAGTGAATCTGGGATCTGTGCTAGCAAGCTGAGAGATCTGAACTGCAGCCAGCAAGCAATGCTCAAGATAAGCATCAGAGGTCTCCCAAAAGTACTACAGCCATTCTCAGTGCCCAACCTCCTCTAGCAATGAGGAAAGCTGACTTCCCATCAGAAAAGCCAATGTGACAAGCTTCTTCAAGAGGCTAAGCAGTGTATCATCTTTCCTCTGGAGCCAGGAAGCAATGCTGAAGATGAGGACCAGAGCTCCCCAAAAACGAACCACTGCCATTCTCAGTGACAATGAGGTCCTGATTCCCCTCTGACAAGAACAGCCAAGTTCATCAGGAAAGCCAGTATGACAAGGTCCTCTAGCAGAATAGCCCAGAAAAGCCAATGGTTTCCAACAGCTTCTCCCAACAGTATCCCTAACAGTCTCAATAACTTATGCTGTGCCTTTTATGCTGCTGGTAACAATCCTCAGGTGGGCTTTGCACATCCAGCATGATGCTAGTCAATTCAGCTGGTCATAATGAGTTGACCAGTTAGAAATTCACTACAATATTGGTTTAAGGTTTACATATTCTTGATATAAAAGTTTTTATAATTCATATGTATCTAGAAATCCGCCCATTTCTTCTGAATTTTCCACCTTAATAGAACACAAGTTTTCCAAGTAGGTATAGATTATTTTATCGTAATAAGAGGGAAATAACCACTGAAGAACAGTAGCCATGGCCCTCCACTATCCCATGCTTGGGCCTCAACAAGGTGACTAAGAATGTGAGCAAACACAGTTACAGCCACCATCACGGATGCCTCACTAAACACACCAAGTTCGTGCTGGACATGATCCGGGAGGTGTGCAGCTTCACACCCTATGAGTGGCATGCCATGGAGCTGCTCAAGGTCTCCAAGGACAAACTTGCCCTCAGGTTCATCAAGAGAAGGGCAGGGACACACATCCTTGCCAAGAGGAAGAGTGAGGAGCTGAGCAATGTGCTGGCCGCCATGAGGAAGGCAGCTGCTAAAAAGGACTGAGCCCCTCTGGAATAAAGCTTTTGCAGAAAGTTTGAAAAAAAAAAAAAAAGTAAACAAGTGCTGGGTATAGCTGGGTATAGTTTAGTGTGGTAGAGCACTTCTGGATTAAAGCCCCAGTATTGCAGGGGAAGTTGGATGAACAAAGAGGAAGGGAAGAGAAGGAAGGTGGAGGCTAGGGGACAAAACAGTTATTTACCATGTGCAAGGCCTTGGGTCTGGTACTCAGCACCAGAAAAAAAAAAAAAAAAAAAAAAATCAAACTAACATAATGTAGTTCTCTATTTTTCCACTAATGATACTTCATCAATCCTATCAGGACTTTCTGTTTAAAAATAATCCTGCATTTGTCTTGAGCCATCTCTTTTTTTTTTTTCTCCTTGATCAGAAGAGCAGGGTAGAAATTATGAATCAGCAAGATGTATAATCTAAAAACCTCAATTAGTGTAAACACATATGCTATTACATGTAAGATTAATAGTATCAAGAAAGAAAAATGGGGTAGGAGAATTAGAGGAAGGTGGAAGGAAAAAGACAGGAAGGGGACTGACCAAAAAAAAAAAAAAAAAAAAGCTATGGTATGTGCATGTAATCACTCCTCAAGATGTTTATAAACTGTATGAACCCCAAAAATGTACTAAAAGTCTTTAAAATACTTTTAAGAAGACAGTTACTGAAAATCAACAAAAAAAAATTGGCAATGCAAAAGATTGGGAAAAGAATCAGGAAGATGCTAGTAAAAAGCTTCTGAATTTAGATTACTTACATGTGTCTTGTTTCAGGTTAAAGAAACTGAAAATCAAAGATGAACTTTAGGTGCAGTTCATGCAAACAGTGCAGTGAAAAATGCCAAATGAAGTAAGTCATTCCTTACAAAAAGGCTTTAGTCTTTTTTTTTCCAGACAAAAACACCTTTTATTTTAAGCCCCACACAGTCAGCAGGTGGCCCCAACTATCCACGTTTCATTAAAATCACATAAAACTGAGGTTAAAAGCACCACTGACCTCTAACAGGACAAAAAAAAAAAAAAAAGTTAAAATAAAAAAAAAGATACAAAGGAAAGATCATTTTGTATTTATATATACAAAGTAGGATAAAATTACAGCTACTTTTACTTAACTCAATGAGAAGAAAGAGGTGTACTAACTGTGTTTGGATAGAATATCCTGTCTGCTTCTTGTACTATGGATAACCACTAAGAAGATAACAATGCACAGTGTATTGACTATCAAAACTGTCCTATTAATCAGCTGTGAAACTGTCTCATTCATATTTATTTCTCAATAAAAAAGCACCGTTAATTATTGCTCTAGAAAAATTATGTGAAAAATTCAAACCTGCACAGTAAAAACAGCACAATATGCACAGGACCAAGCTCTTACAGCAGCGGCACGTGCTGCTCCATCTGTTTTATACGCAGCTTCCGATATTAGGATGGCATTTCTTTTACTTGATAATAAGAACTTCTAAAAACACAATTAGAGTAAAATGTGCATCTTTATATATTTTGTATGCCTAATAGTAGAGTCCTAAAAAACTAGTGTTTACACAATACTTGGTAAAAATAGCTTTAAAAAGGTGTCCCAAGAGGTACATAAAATCACCCCCAACTTTCTGTGCCAATTTATTCTCCCTTGTTATCTACAGATTCAGTTTTCTGTGCTTCTTGGAATTCAGCTTCATCATTTTCAGACAGTGTAGTACCTTCTGCACCAGTCTGTTGCTTTTCTTCCCTCTTGTCTTTAGCACCTGCGTTACTCTTTGGTCCAGGTTCTTTCTTGGTAAATGTTTTTTTTGGTTTAGGTTCAGGTTTTAGTGAAGCAGGTTTCGTGGGCAATCTGGCAGACCGTCTTGGGGGTTCCTGTTTAGTTACTGTGGATCCATCTTTGCCTTCTGTATTCTCTGAAGACTTCCTCTTTGGCATAATGATTGGAGGGTCAGTGGAAAGTGAAGCGACGGGCTGGGACTGTGGGCCCTAGATGCTGCCTTGCCAGGCCTTGGTCTTATGCCAAAAGGTTTAGGAATATCTGCTATAGTTTTAAGTTTGAATGTAATATGTAAGGAATTTTTTATAATTTTACATAAGACAAATTTTTCAACTTCAAACTTTTCAACTTAAAAGATGATATAGAATGAACAAGTTTCCTATAGAAGCTAAGAAATGGGATATAAAACATGGCCACAGCAATTTGTTTTACAGAGGAAGAGAAACTAGCCTCAGTTAAATAACACAGTAT